CTGAAAAGTTTGCAAGCAGTCATCTAGATGCAACAATGGGTCTCTCCTCATCCAGAGCAAAGAGGAATGAAGAAAACCAAAGACACATGGAAACAACTAGTTCAACAGACTGGTACACCATGTGATCCTCTGCCTATATGACTATGAGACCAGAAGAACTAGATGGTGCCCAGCTACCACTGTCAACCACTCGCAGGAGAATCTATGTAGGAGATCCTGGATAGAGAAGGAGAACAATGTGGAAAAAATTCAAAATCATAAAAAAAGGGGAGAGGCACTTTTGCTGGTCCAATAGAGCCTGGTATAACCCCTGAGACTACGGCCCCTAGCTGCCCTTCAGGTCTGGACTTGAACCCATGCCTGTGGGTTCCAGCCAAACAAAAGATAGGCATATGAGCTGAACATTTACATTAGGTAGATACACTCCTTGGAGAGATCCATCATGGGAGAATAGAGGGGATGTGTACACACATAAGCAGACAGCTCAGGTGGCAGGGGTGCATGGGAGGGAAGGACACAGGGAAGAGGTAACTATGGGGAAGAAGTAGGAGAGGCCTCATTCAATAAGTTGGGAAAAGTTCTACAGCAGAAAAAAACCCAGATTCGTATAACCATCTTTGTCACCAATAGAGAGAAGAAATAATTATTACATTTTTGTAATTACATATATAATATACAAATACAGGCAGTTCCCAGGCTATGAATGTCTGACTTAACAGACAACTTTAATTTGCTCTTTAATTTTATGTAAATTTGCCCTCACTTTGAAACAACTGAACCAACCCCTACGAGTAACATATTCTTCATCACAGTCACCTTCACTTGATGCACGTGCAGCTTTTACATCATTAAAAAGTCTCTGCACTTTCTTACATTAAACCAAGGCTAAATATGAACTGTGTGCACCTTCTCCAACTCACCTACAAATTCCACTTAAACACTTAAAGACACAGTTAGGAATGGATCGCATCCATAATCCAGGGACTCCCTTATGCTACTACTAAATACTTACCACGTATTATGTGAAAATGGATCACTGGAGAAGAAGAAACAGAACCTGAGAGAGATGCTAGAAAGCAACTTTATAATAGTTACAGGTAAGATTTCCTGAACACTTAATATGTGGCAGTCACTGTTCTAAATGCTTTACAAGTATTCATTCAGTTAGTCCTCACCACTACCCACCCACTGCCACCAAGTCAATTCTGAGTCATCACGACCCTATAGGACAGAGCAGAACTGCCTCATAGGGTTTCCAAGGCTTTAAATCTTTATGGAAGCAGACTGCCTCAATTTTCTCCTGTGGAGCAGCTGGTGGGTTCAAACCACTGACTATTGGTTAGCAGTCCAATGCTTTTAACCACAGGGCCACCAGAGCTCCTTTGTCCTCACCACCAATGCTCCTCAAATTTAGTGTGCATATGAATCGCCTGAGGGTCCCGCTGAGCTTCAGTAGGTCAGCGGTGGTACCTGATGAAATTCTGCATGTCTAACCTGCTCTCAGGTGACAGTGATGCTGCGGGTCCACCAACCACATTTTGAGTTGCAATCCTCACAACTCCTTGTGGTGGGCATTATTATATTGTTTCCC